ATATATATATATATATATATATATATGAAAGAAAGAAAGAAAGAACGCCGAATAGCGAGCCAACTGCGGACCACTGACAGCTCCAGTTTAGGCGTTTAGCATTACATGCGAAAATGAGATTTCAACAGTTCCAACTAACATCAAAATCGTGTCAATCATGACGCAAGAAACGAGGGTTGTGTTTTAGAAATTGTCTTAGTGTCAACGAATTACACTTGCTCAATCAGATGTACTAACTGTGAATAGTGCTTAAACCAGAGCAATCTAGCTGTTGCATTCCATATCAAATAAAAGTGGAATTTCTCAAGTAAATTTGATATGTATCTGGCAATTTGTGGATTCATGTGCTCAGAAACTGGCTCAAACTAAGCTGATAGCATACTGGACAAATTCGTTTTTGTGGATGAAATTAGTCAAGATCAGTTCGTACGAATCGAACCATCTTTAAATGATCCACACCAATTTAGAGCACGAGATTTACATACAAACATGACAAAAATGCGGAAGTTTGAATCAGGCGGTTCAGTTTCGTTAATTGTAGTTTTCTGTTCAGTATCCCTGATCCTGGAATCAAGAACGTAACTAATGGAGAGAAGCAAACCTAAGACCACCCAGTGTGTAACATATCAGCAATCAGTGCGTACTGATAATCACCGTGTATCTATTAGGCACATTTCAGAGAAGTGTCGCACAGATAAACAGCTATGCTAAGTGTTCGGAAGTTTACCCTTTCATGGTTGATGACAAAAAATTTCAACGTTTGTTATTTACGATCCTGTGACGACCTAAGCCAAAAATCCACGGGTGCAATGTCGTAAGAAAAGGATGGTGGGGTATAGAAACAATGGTTTACAATACGAATTTCCCGAAAGAAGTGAAATTTGGTATCTAAACGGAATCGAACACCACCGGATTCAGTTTCAGGTTACGAACACTAATTAATACTTAACAGCTAGTGACTTGCCAAGAGCCAGTGGGAGCAATACCGAGGTCCCGATAAAAGTCCGCGATGAACGTCCATGTAAATTATCTTTTAGGTGACAATTTTCTCATTTCTCATGAATCGAGGATTCCAAAACTCAACTGGTGCATGAACCAGTTTGATCAGTGTCAATAAAGGGATTATGATTACCGCAATGAAGAAGACCGATAACTTGGTACAATGGGATAATTCCAAGTGAATATCAAATCACGATAAAAATCACGAACGGTCCGGTATACCGAACTCAAACAAACAATCTCCAATGGAAACACGTTAAACTTACCAGATCTTTGGCTGTTTCGCTAATATCATCCCATTCAGGACTTGGAAACGAATAACGGCCCTCCATGATCTGTCGGAGCATCAGATGCTCCTTTCGGTTCCAGAATGGCGGACAACCGACAAGCAGAGTGTACATGATTACACCACATGCCCAAATGTCCACGGGCTGGCTGTAAGCTGGTTGGTCTTCATAGTAACCGACTTTTAGTACTTCAGGTGCCAGGTATCCGGGAGTTCCACGAGTCTCTATCGAACAATAAGTAACCAAAATAATTATACCAATTTGAGTAAAGCTCTGGACGCATGTGTAAGTAAACGAAAATGACAATGGTAGACATGGTACGTCTTGATTGTTTCTTTGATTGATAGCCAGCTCCTTTGTCTAATTGTTCTATCTGTTTTTTCTCTGATACGACTTACGGTAAAAGGAATCAATTCCATTTTCAAAGACCTACTGCAAGTGAGTGAGGGTTGGAGCAGTCTAGCACTAAAGAGTCATGATTATCTTATTTTGTTGTCTCGCGTTAAAAGATACCCCGAAAGCAGGAAAACAGAATAAAAGATCAACACAGTGGCAAAGGTTTCAATTAGATCACATTGTGACAGGAAACGGTTTACATGCTAAAAGCAGTTTCAGTTTTTACAACCATTAACCATGCACTTTCGTGTGCCGGTTTTGGTCGCTGTCTTTTGGTGCCCCATTTGTATAAAAGAGCAGAATGAAGATTGGAATGTTGAAAGCAAACTCAAGCGGAAGATGGAGAATTCATATAGAGTGGTGTTAGGAGAATCATCATCATCATCATTGTACAGCGTAATACAGTGAAGAGAATTTCGCTGATCGCTGCCAAACTCATAATGCATACAAGATAAGTGAGAATGTGTAGGATTGGGCCTATTTTTAGGGGCAGGAAAAGAAAGCGAACCTCCATGGTCAACACACAGTATACAGCCTAATTGTGCATACATACTAGTTCGATCATTCTGGTCTGATAAGAAGTGAGAGCATGATCGCCATTGCTGTCGGTTCGAAGCCATCTGTCTCCAAACATGCGGTTACGGAGTCTTTTGGACCCCAATCCGGAAGACGAGAGACACCTGCTCTACCTAATCGCTCTGTGCATTTCTTTATTCCTCGTCTTCACATCATCTGCTGGCCTCCACGTGGCTTTCTTCAGCCCGTAACAGCCACTGCAAACAAGGCGTGCTGCGGTAGGCGACCCTCGGACATACGCAAAACGTGTCCTAACCAACGGCTCTCTACTGGGCTGGATTCGATCAGATAGCGAGTTCTTGTCTGATGTATTCCCAAACACCCGAAGACTTAATTCTAAATTACTAATCCGCTCACTCCATCCCACTTGGGCCAGACTAGGTAAACATCGATTTTCGAACACTGCTAAACGACGGGTGTCTTCTACCCTCAAATTCAAGGGCTCACAACCGTAAAGCAAAACTATCCGTACAGTGGCGCAGTATACGCGACTTTTCAACTTTAGTGACACGTCACGTCGTAGCCATAGATGTTTTAGTCCTGCGTACGCTGCTCGAGCCTTGGAAATGCGAGTGGTTATCTCCTTCGATACGCTGCCGTCGTTGGTAACACAGCTACCTAAGTACAAGTAGTTAACTTCAGCTAATTCCTGACCGTCTAGTTTCAGAACAGAACTCGGTGACACCCAGTCTTGTAGCATCAATTTGCACTTTGAAGGTGCAAAGCACATGCCGAACAGAGAGACAGAACTTGCTAACCTGTCAAGTGTTCTTTGTGCATCCTCCATAGATTCGAACAAGCAAACAATGTCATCAGTGTACTCCAAATCGTACAGCTTTTCTCCAGCTGCCAATTCAATACCTACATTTTGGAGACTACTTAGTGCGTTCTCCAGTATTTCGTCTATGAAGAAATTGAACAGGAATGGCGAAAGAGGGCACCCTTGACGAACAACGCTGCTAGTTACGAACGACCTACTCAACTCGCTGTAGACCCTTACGCTACCAGAGGTATGTGAGTAGAGTGAACTCAGTATATTCACATACTTCTGCGGCATTCCTTTACGAAGGAGTGAACCCCTAAGGGATTTACTGTCAACTGAGTCGAAGGCTCCTTTTATGTCAAGGAACACGACAACCGTTGGTCGACGGTGCGTATGTCGTAGCTCGAGGACTTGACGCAGGGTGAAGATTTGATCGATACAACCGCGACCTGGTCAAAATCCTGCTTGTTGTTCTCGGATTTTTGTCTCCCTAGAAGGTGTCAGACGTCGAAGTATAATGGAGGCTAGTAACTTGGTGACGATTGGGGTCACACTTATTCCACGCTGGTTTGCGCAGTCATTGCGAGATCCCTACTTAAAAATTGGAACCATCAGTGATTCGCTTCAGGATGATGGACAGCGCTCGTGTAACCACATGTTACGCCCCCCCCCATCTTGAAAAAAGTGGGAGGAAGCCCGTCTGGCCTTAGTGCTTCTTTTTTCAAGGCTTGGATGCAAGAACGAACTTCTCCTGCAGTAGGAGGTTCAGATGACACTGCCCATGAAGCCTCAGCTATATCGGAGGAGATAGCCTGGTTAGCGCCTGGCCAGCTGAACTGTTCGTTGAAGTACTCCGCCCACTGATCAAGCCATTGTTCCCTATTGTGAATAGCTTGCCCACTTTTGTCGCGGATTGTTTCATTAACTGTGATTCGCCTCACCTCCCATATTCCGTATCAGTTGGAACAGTCTGACTATTCCCTGATGCAGCTGCAACTTCCATTTCACTAGCTATCGTTGACCGCTAGTTCTCACGGTCTTTCTTGAGTTTCCTCGTGAGTTGACGTTGTAGAGGTCACCTAACTCTGCCTTGATCACGGGAGGTTGGGATTTGCCACTTTTTATCCATCAGTGCTACTGACTGATCAGATATCCAATGCCTCAGGCGGGCTACCGCTTCAGATCCACAAGCAACGTTCGCTGCGGAGTGCATTGCTCGGCTAATCTGATCCCACTACCACCCCGCAGTGCGTTTAGCTCTTGCCCTAGTTCTGATTCAAAACGGGCGCGAACGACTGGGTCAGATAAGCGATGATCTGACAATCGAGTTTGGTAGGATTTTCTGCGACCGATGAGTTGGAGAGTGAACTGCATTCAAACTAACGCATGATCAGATTCAACGCAGGTGGTCCAATAGGACCTGCAGTTTTGTACTGAGTCACGCCAACGGTAACTTACTGCTATGTGGTCGATCTGAGTTAGCGTGCCAGTTGAATTTGAGCGCCACGTTGCTGTCCGTTGAGAGCTGTCGGAAGTTGGTGCTGGATAAAAACAGATGATGACCCGCACAGAACTGAAGAAGTCTATCACCATTATCTGTTCGCTGGCAGGGCAGAGCACAATGACCACCTAGGCAAGCTTCCGATGCGATCAGTTTTCCAACTTGAGCATTAAAGTCACCTGAGAAAAACACTATATCGGGGGTTCCGCTCGACCAAATGAGTTCGGTGAGTTTATCATAAAACTCGTCCTTTTGTGCGTCAGACCTATAGTTGGTCGGTGCATATGCTGAACTGATGAATAAACACCTTTTGATGTTGCTTTCCTTCCGGACAATTATAGACCCTTGGAGCCGCGTCGTACATAAGCGGCTGTTGACGAGGATCCAATCGAGTAGTGCGGCTTCGGTTGTATTGTTCAGTACAATGCCCACACCACGCTGGCCTACTGAACGGGCTTCGTCATCACCTCGAACCTCGAAGGCAACCCCGGTGCACTTAAGTGGCATATAGTACTAGGATTCTGGATTCCAGTCTCTGACACGCAACAGACATCAAGGCCCAAAGAGTCTATTGCACGCGCCAGACACGCTTGTTGACCAAACTGCATCAGAGTCCACACGTTGAAGGCTCCCAGATTCAGTAGCTGACGAGGCTTCAGAATCCGCAATCTATTTTGTGGTAAACTACTTACCGGGCTACTTAGCAACGAACTTTGGCGAGTGATAAATAAGTTGTCTGAGGGAATGTTACGGGTTGGAAGAAGGGGTGAAGGGAGAGGGTTGGGTACGGAAGATGCACTATGGAATTATTTANAGTGAAACAATCTGCGACAAAAGTGGGCAAGTTATTCACAATAGGGAACAACAGCTTGAGCGGTGGGCGTAGTACTTCAACGAACAGTTCAGTTGGCCAGGCGCTAACCAGGCTTTCTCCTGCGATGTAGCTGAGGATCCGTGGGCAGTATCATCTGAACCTCCTACTGCAGCAGAAGTTCGTTCTGGTATCCAAGCCCTGAAGAAAGGAAAAGTAACGGTCGGACGAGCTT